TGCCCAAAACCCTGCTATTTACAGCGGTTTTGCCTCTTTATACAACGTGCGTCTCATTGATTACATCTACAGCTGGGTCTGGCGTCGCAGTTGGATCCCAAAGCGGATGTCGCGGATCACTTGGGGAACGTGTGCTAAACTGAGTGCCCTATCTGAAGTTGGTGTGGGGTCACAAAATGTGTCTGGTTTTGATATTCGCAATGATGCAGATTAGTGCGGTTAGGCCTTGGGGTGAACAACCTAACACACAAGAATCCCCTCACATTCAAACTGCAAATCCCGTTCAACAACAAGGCCTAATCCACAAACCCTAAACCCTAAACCCTAAACACAAAACCTAAGCCCGAAGCCATACAGCCCAGGCCCCTCATGGCGAAATGCCGTCCACTCCGGGGCTTTAGGTTTTCACCCTCCACTTATGTTCGTAAATCCTATTCCGGTAATCCGTACACGCTAAACCCACCCCAAACCCTAAACCCTAAACCCTAAACCCTAAACCCTATACCATACCCTCACAGGATTCTTCCATCTGAAAGCAGGGCACAGGATGAGGTACGACCTGCGCATCTATGCAGAGCTCCTGCCATGACAGATGCTCTGCGTTTCTCACACTGCACTTAATGTACTATTTTTCTTTTTTTTTCTTTTGGGTGGGGAGGGGGGGGGGGGCGGGGCTCCTTATTATAATTGTAATACAATATACCCCCAAACTCTTTTATTATTATTACACTGTAGGATGTTCTAAGATTGAATTATTTGGGCGCCTATGTTGTAAGACAATGCTACCTCACCCATTACCGTTCGTTCTACTGCACGGCATAAACTGTGGCTCAATTTAACACTGTCGTGCCGCAACAACAGACATTTTGTGTTATTGCCGTTGTTGACATGCGTGTGTCTTCTGCTGCTATAAGCTGGTGGCCAGAAGGTTAAAGACATCAGTGACATCGCCAGCGTGGATATCGAAGCAAGTTGCATCAGGGTAAACAATGGTAGCTACTGACTACAAAATCTTAACTGAATCTTGACTTGTCTTGTTGCGGTTGCAACTGCTATCCCAGCACGGGTGCTACTTCGGTTCCTTCAATCCTAAGCCACATTCTGTTCTAATCATTAAGGCCCCTAAACCCTAAACCCTAAACCCTAAACCCTAAACCCTAAACCCTATATTAGTATAGGGCAAGGTTTTAGGGCCCAGGTTGGCCTCAGATGCAAAGCCAATTCTCGAGCCTTGGGTGCCAAACCCAACGCCAGGGCTGCAGCCAAACTGCTGCCTGCCACGGTTTAGGGTTTAGGGTTTAGGGTTTAGGGTTTAGGGTTTAGGGTTTAGGGTTTAGGGTTTAGGGTTTAGGGTTTAGGGTTAAGGGGTGGAGAGGATACTTTAAGGATGAAGATTTGCAGTTCTAGGGCTGAAGGCTTAAGAACTTCATCTCGAATCTGCCTTGATAAGTTTTAAGGATCTTCTTGCTCGCTCTCCTGATTTTACCGGCGCACTTTTAATCGGGCTTCTACATTGAGGTTCAGGGCTCGCGGCTTTGGTTTGGGATTCATTGGGTGGTCTTAACGTTTTCGTGTTTAACTTCATTGGCTCCAAAAACTGGAAGTGATGAGACACGCGCTTTAATGAATCGCTTCATGCTGCCATATACCCGTCTCCGATGCCATTGCGAACCACTGTGGCGATGAAAGAACCAACTTGCTCAGAAACGAACAGGTGGGGGTCACAATCCCTACCCCACAACCCTAAAACCCTCGCCCCAGCATGCTCAAGCCCTACCTAGTGCAGCAAAACCATGCAGCTCTGAACCGCTGCATGCTGCCCACCTCGAGGCATTCGTTGCCCAATGTTCGCCGTCCAGATGGGGCTCAAATGGCGGAGCTTTGGAATAGTTAGTGGTACTATTAATTATTCCCTATTGCCCTGCTGGGGTTCCATATTCTGCTTCTACTTCTACTATGATATACTGTAATCTAATATATTCTGCTACGATAACATACCCCCCCAAGCCCTACTAGTCTAGGCGGGTTTAGGGTGCGGGGAGTAAAGGGGAACTACTGGATCCCAAGAGCAACAGGGACTCCGACCCGAAAGCATGCAGCGGAAACTATCTTTGGACGTCCTCATTTGCCCACCCCACCTTCACATGTAGGTTTGTTTTTTGGGGGTTTAGGGTTTAGGGTTTAGGGATCCTAAGAAGCTCACGCGAACAGGGGTATAATCACATGGAGCCCTCAACCTCAAATGCTACATTGGTTGAGACCCTACACCCTAAACCCCGTATAGTACGCTAGAGATCATACTAGAGATCCCTTATAGAACCCTTATCGGCACTCTAAACTGAGTTGTATAAAGAAACAACTAGGCTGCTTGAGGAGTCTTGGCGACGGCGTGTTCTGCGTTAAGGGTTGTATTGTTCCTAGCAGCAGGAAGGCTCCTGCAAGGGGTTCTTCTAAGGATACTTTAGGGAACACCATAAGAGTTTCGGGTGTAAGGTTTCGAAGAGGGTTAGATACTATAAGGGGGTGTTATGCAGCAAAGTGTTGCTTTGAGGGCTGCCAGGGCCACTACAACAGCTACCATAACAGGGGTTACTCTGGGGGTTTCGCATTGGGGCTTTCGATTCCTGGTTTTGATTCTGGGCTGCTTGGCGTGGCTCAGGGGCTGAAAAGAGACTAATGCCATTCCCTGAACGTCCCTACTTAGAGGTTCATGGTTAGTTATAAGTGGGGTTATAAGTAGGGTAACTATAACTATAACCCATAGTAGGGGACTTATAACTCCACTTATAACTAACCATGAACCTCCAAGTATACAATCATACCGATCATACCCCAACGGCCCAATTGCACTCATTGAGGCCGATGTACTGAACCCTGAAAGAACCGGCATAGCAACCCTTTAAGCGGACCTTTCAGCTGTCCTACTCTAAATACTGAGGCCCCCAACCCTAAACCCTAAACCTATACCCTAAACCCTAAACCCTAAACACTAAACCCTAAACCTATACTAACAAGAACAATTTGTTCCTTCTAGGCTTGAGGGTCGCCGCGGCCATGACTTCAGAGAAGGATTCCAAGCGAAACTCCAAGTCCTAAGCCTGGGTTTAGGGTTAAGGGTTTAGGGTTTAGGGCAACCCTGGCTCAAAGCCCTAAGCCCGAAACCCTACACCTCAGGAGGGCCAAATCCTAAAAACCCTGCCTGCAGAAACCTCAGTACCACCCTGGTCCCCATTATATTTGGGCCTCAAACTTTTGTTTGGGCTTTAGAAGGTAAGTTGAAACAGGGCGTTGCGGCATATTAACGCAGGGACCATATTACGGGGACAGTCTTACAATTGTTCCTCAACCCTGGTGATGGTGAGGCCCTGGAGAACCCAACCATCAACTTCGTAAAACCCTCTCAAACCTATCGTAACCTCTACAATCGGGGCAAAACCCCAAAGTGCTTCTTCCAATCCTGTCCTAAACCCTAAACCCTAAACCCTAAACCCTAAACCCCAAACCCTAAACCCTAAACCCTAAACCCTAAACCCTAAACCCTAAACCCTCATCAACCCCTTGCTCTAAGCCCTCTAAACCCTGAGCCCTAAAAGTCTAGGACCGTCAATCCTATAGCCCTACTTAGAGGCCCAGGGGACTTAGTAAGTCGGTTATAAGTAGAGTTATAATTAGGGTAACTCCATTTAGGGTACTTATAACTCTACTTATAACCTACTTACTAAGTCCCCTGGGCCTCCAAG